AAAGAAAAGAGCGATAAGGATGAAACGCGGAGTCCGAAGAAAAAAGGAATGGGATCACGCGAAGGAAATGGAAACCGTGTCAAGAAACACACCCGTGATAATGGGTGGGAATCTATCTATCTATCTATATCGATTGATAGATAGATAGATATGTGATTACGCCTTGTGTGTGACCGTTTCACTCCACTCCACACCTTCTAAGCACCCTTACACGCAAACTACTAGAAAGCTTGAAGGAGTGAGGACGCTTTTGAAGACTTTTTTTTTTGTATCAAAGAAACTTGCCTATTCCCGATGGGGGAATTCAAGCCCTCCAAGAGAAACGCTAACAGTAACGAGAAGAGAAAAAAGTGGAATCACATGAAAGAAATGAGTACAGTTAAGCAAATAAAAGGAAAGATATGTATCGTACGTTTTCTTAAGTCAACCGCCAAATGCGGCTGGGAAAGTTTGCTTTTATCATCAGCTCAAGGGAGCCCTGTTGGCGATCAGAACGATTCACCCCTCCAGAGATTAGAAATAGGCAACCGCTTTCTTATGGTGTGTGTGGATCTCCGTTGACAATTCGATCTACTCCCCATACGCCGATTCAATCGCGTTCTTCGCGCATCGAATCCACTCCGAAGGAAGTTCTTCTGTTGGCGTGGGGTGCCCGACGTGATAATGCAACCCCCGCCCGCGAGAACGGCCGCCGTAAACCCCTCCCCACCACACCTTGGAAAAAGAAGGCAAAGAGCATTGCTGTTGCCATTCGATTAAACTCGCCCGCACGTGATCGGGAAGGGCATTCGTTGTTTCCTTTTGACCTCCACGAGATGCATTCGATGCGTTTTCGTTCCTTTCCATTTCTTCACGCATTGCATTCGATGCTTCCACGAGGATTTGATCGCCCGGGGCGGATTCGGAGAATTGTTTTCGCGCGAGGTGCTCGTAGACGGCGGAGCGCGTCGGGCGGGGTCGTTTATCCGCCCGCGATACCGACGGGTGCACGAAAAGTAAACGCGGCAACCCCGCCACGGCGACGGGAATCCAGGGCGGCGAAGGATTCATTTTCTCGCGACGAAACGCGTCGCCTTCCGGTTTCCCGATGGAATGGGGCGTTCCCGCATGATCCTCCCGATTTTGATGGGGATTCGCGCGAGAAGGGTGCGTGGTTTGGAGAAAAGCCTCCAACGCGGCGAGGTCGGAGGTGAGAGGGTAGCCAAAGGATGTTGGAGGAGACCCTTCGCTCAGCCTTGCCGCGTTTTCTTCGCTCGCGTCTTCTCGAGAGGAGGGGGGGTCGATTTTGAGGGCGGAGTGGAGGCCCCGCTCGCGGCGCCGCCAGCAGCCCTGCCAGTGATGCGCGAAGGTAATCGGGAAGGCCACCGCGCGGGGTCGCGCGCGCGTGAAATTTTCCCCAAATAAACGGAAAAACGAATCCGACGGAGTGGAGAGAAGCCGCAGCCCCGATGAGAGGGGATTTCCTCCGTCGGAGGGTTCTTTTGGGAGCAGCAACGGGTTATTCGCGCACGCCCAAAACCCCACCTCTTCAATCCAATGCACCGCGTTCAAGACGAGGTATGGATCCGGAGGGAGGGGCGTTTGCGCGATTTCCCTCCCCTCTCCGTCGTTCGCCAACGCCCATGGGTTCTCGACGGCATCCACGTGCAAGGTGGTTTCAATCTCCAACGCGGAGGTGATGCGTTTTGCGAGTTGATGAAAAAATTGCCGTCGCCGGGGGGTATCCTCACGCCAGCAGAGCGCCGGAATCCAGCGGAAACCGATCACGTACACCCAAAAGCATATCAAACACGTGATTTGCTGCCCGAAGGAAAGCGCCTCATCACGAAAGTTGAGAAAATCACAATGCTGCCTTTCCATCGCGTTGAGGGTTTCCAGCAACGAGGCGGCCTCTGCACGGGTCGCGAGAAGAAACCCCTTCACCAGATAAGGCAGGGAGAAAAATAAATACCTCACCTGCTGCAACTCGCAAAAAAAGAGAAGTTTTTCACGATTAGTCGCCCACACCGACGAGGAGGGTAACGCATTGTGCAGAAAACCACTTCCACCGACGCCGTGGCCGTCCACCGCGGGAGAAAGAAAAGATTTTTTCGATAACGCGTGCTCGACGGAGACTTTGAGTTGCGTTAGACGCTGAAACACCCCTTGGAGGTTTTGTTTTTCGATTTCGAGCTTTTCCTCGAACGCAGCTTGAAAGGTAACGCGGGGAAGATAGATATGCCAGTACGCAACGTATGAAACCCCTGACGCCGCGATCGCACCCGCGAACCACACGTGCAGCCTCGGCATGGGAGAAAAATCGCGGTGTGGATAATACGGGAGGAGCGCACGAAAGGGGGAACTATCGCTTCCCTACCTTAGCGAAAGATGAAATAGATAGCAAAGGAAAGGACCAATAATAATAACAATCATCATTCATCATCATTCGGAAAGCGTAAGATAAAAGTCACATGAATCCTTTGGCCGCTCTCCACTCTTTGAGAAAATCTCCTCAATGATAATGTTCTAAATCAGTGGGTAAGCGATAGGAACCACCGCCTTCCCCCCTCCTGTTCCCAGCGTACGAATAGGAGGAATGCAAACTAATTCATGCAGAATGTTTCTTCTTTCTTTTTTTCTTTTCAAAAGAGAACTAAATATTTGCTCAACTGCATGAACTGCGATACGAACGCCGCATCGCTTTCTACCCCTTTCCACACATCCAAACTTTCAACGACGACCACCACTACAGCCTTCAGGCGGCCTTTTCACCTACCTACAAAATAGCAAAAGCAGCGATTTCATCGAGTTCGTTTGTAACCATTCGCCTTCCGAAATGATCCCCAGCACTTTTGTTTTCTCTTCGTCATTCTTTTTCGTTGATTGCTTGGGCTTTTATGATTCATGTGTATCTAAACTTTTGCGTAAGATTTCCCTTTCATACAACCAAATCAGCCTCATCCACGACATCCTCAAATTCCGCCATCATCATATTCTTCACCCCGGGATTCTCCAAAAAGGAGGGGGGACCATCTTTCCGAATCGTCGTCAGGAATGCCTTCCCCTCCCGGAGGCCCTTCTTATCTTTTTCAAGCGCCAACGCCTTTTTCTTCTTCTGCACCATTTTCAATCGAAAGAACTCCTCCCGCTCCTGCTCATCGAGCTCAGAGGTGATATAACTCAGGGTGTTCTGCAGACGAGGGATGACGACTTTTTCGAGGGCATTCACCCGGCGATTCGTCACCTTCTGCGCGGCATCCAACGTCACCCAGCTCGATTGCAAGGAGGAGATATTCACAAGAAGATCGAGGGTGTGGCGAAAGGCGCTGTGGGCTTCGCGGATTTGCTCCCCACCTTTTCCAATCCCCGCGGCGAGATTCCCACCAGCAGGGCGATTACTTTCCCCGCCTCCAACTCCTTCTTCTTCTTTCTCGTCCTCCGCGCGGAGGCTCGGGACTTTGACCCCGGCAACGTTTTCGATCTTCAATCGAAGGCAATAGGTGGGGATTTTGAGCGATTCCTGAACCGCGAGGCTGATATCGCTCAGAATGAACTGCGCCTTGGTGATGGTGAAGTAGGCGTTCTTGATTTGGTCCGTCATCTCCAGCTTGGAGTTGCGCAACTCGTGCATGATCGCGCGATATCGAATGAGAAGCGCGTCTGCCTTTTTCTTCAGAAGACTATGCCCTTTTTGAGCGCCCTTCAGGCGAACCTTGAAGGTAATCAGCGACATCCGACTGGGAAGGCTCGGATAACGATTCGTGGACGACATGGCTTCGGTTTGGGTGATGTAACCCGATCAATTTCCCTTTTCCTCCTCCTTCTAGACAAAATGCTCAACCCTGTAGAAAAGTAACTACAAGACTATAGGGTTGGTAAGCCCATCCACAAAGAAAGCACCGAACAGAAAAGAAGTGAATCTGATGTTAGAAAGAGACATCCCCCCCCCCCCCTTCACATAATGACTGGAAGGCCAACCATCCAAACCCCCACGACCTACACCCCTTCACGTTCCTTAATAAGCATAAAAATAATCCTAATCATCATAATAAAATTCCATCACTTCCTTACACAGCATTCCATTTTGAAGAGGATATGCTCCCCAATAATAATAATAATAAAAAATAAGACGTCGATAGAAAAGACCCTTACCCCCTCGATCAAACGGATCCGCTTACCCCTCCGGGGCTTTGGTCGATCCGGTTGTCGGAGTAGCCGAGCCCTTCTCTTTGGTTGGTTTTTCCTCGTTCGCGCTCTCCGGCGCGGTAGCGATGGTCATCCCCGCCTCGGCGAGCTCGGCCGCGGGCCACTCCGTCATCGCGGGGAGCATCCGCTCCGTCTTCTCCACCTCCGCGCGGAGGGATTGGGTGAGGTGTTGATTCAGGCGAAAGGCGATCCGCCGCGCCTCCTTGACGTGCGTGTGGGCCTTTCCATACCGCTCCATTGAGATGTACACCCGCGCGATGTGGTTGAGCGACTCCGCGACGGCGATCTCTGAGGTTTCCCCCTGCACCCGGCGATGATTGAGGGCCTTTTCGAGCCATTTGAGCGCCTCCGGGTAGTTTTTCTTCTGATGCAGGCATTGCCCGAGGACGGTGTGGACGTCGGCCTGCGCGAGGACGTTTTGCCGGGCGGTTTTTGCGTAGAGCTCGAGGGCGGCGTGGCATTGCGCCTCGCAGGGCTCCAACTCGCCGCGGAGGAGGTGGAGGAGGGCGAGGTTGCTGTACGAGTACGCGACCGTGGCGTGGTGCTCGCCGAGCAGCTCCACGCGGATCGCGAGTGCCTGCCGAAAGCACCGCTCCGCCTTCTCGAAGTGGTGGAAGTCGACGTAGAAGAGGCCGAGGTCGTCCAGGACGTCGCTGGCGTAGCTGCGCTGCACCGGCTCCACCTTCGCGTTCGCGTTGTACGCCTCGATGGCGAGGAGGAAGTAGGCCTCCGCGCGGGTCTCCCGCTTCATCGCGAGGACCTCCGCGGTTTTTTGATACAAATGCGCGAGCTGCGGGTCC